GAAAAAAAAAAAAAAAAGTAACGATGCATATCGGCGGCATACAATGAGCACGCACACGCACAACAGTATTTAAGGGAAGAAAGAGCGAGTGTGTACAGACATGTGTGCGCGCACATGTTGTGCTCCCCCACAGTGTTGCCTACCAATTGCGGTAGCCAACATTTTCTGGTATCTAACTCTTTTCGTGACGGCCATAGCATAAAGATTATTAGCATAATTTATACGGCGATGTACATTTTCCGCCGATAACCATCGCGTTCGCTCCTTTCGCTTTACGCTTTACATTGACCAGACTCCTTGGGATTGCCGGATTGTATTAAATATTTAATACAAAAATTTTAACTGGCATATTTTTTAATAAGAAAACACAAATTTTCAAAGTGTGTACGCTGCTTGCGACTATATTACATCGAGATGTCCGATTACATCGAACCTTGATGTAAATGGGTCCGCGTTACCACGCCACGAACAATCGAGCTTGATTAATAAATATCGATCGCACTTATTTGCTTGTTTGTCACAAAAACATCAACTTTATTCCGAATATACGTTTTGTTATCGCTGTTAATATCGTATATTTCCATGCCGGTATTTGACGTAAAAGATCCGCGAGATCTCGGCAGATTTAAAGGACCCGAAGAATCTGGTAATCCTAATCGACTGGGGCTCTCGTCGCCTTTCCGAAGCGTTTTCCGTTGGTTCCGTTGTCGTCCACTATCCGGATCAAAGATGGAAGAGAGTCCAGTGATTTTCTAATACCAACTTTTCTATATAATACGTAGTATCGATTAATAATTAATAATAACAGGATGTGCGCAGATGATGCGAGTGCAAAGTGTGCGAGCCGAATTCTCTCTCTATGCAGTTTGGATGGCGGGCGCGTTAATTCGAAATAATTAAAACATATCGACAAATGCTCGGAGATTTATATTCGATATTTTTTTCTATTCTATATATAAAAAAAAAAAATCTCGAGAAACTTTTCGTTGCGTGAACAAATGTTTTGAATACTCGGAAAACTCATGTACCGTGTGCGTGGAGAGAGAGATATCGCTAAACATCCGAATTCTCGTACAGAGATTCGCCTCGGATCTCGAATCTTTCGTGTCTCAGAGTTTCTCTGTATCGCGGCTACATCCCTGAATTTAATATTCGTTTATAATTGAATCTCTCGCATCGTCTGCGCTCACCATCGATCATTACGAATTGTACAGTGCTCCGTTGTATCGCTCGACGATGTAAATACAACGACAAACGTCCGACAGATTTTTTTTCGGGAACACGTAGCTCAATCGGGCGCGGCGGGGTGCTTAATCGATACGAAGATGTACAATCCCATCGACGGTTTTTTTTTTTTTTTAAATTCTCTCGTCCTCGAGATTCACAGACGACGGCACTTTAACGTAGCGGCCGTAATAATCAGCATTTCTCCCTCATTACAAAATAAATAAATAAATAAATAAATCGTTCTTCGCGTAATTATATAAATAGATATGTATTATATTCGAAATAATTTTTACACATATGGGAATTTATATCCAAATATATATACGGCCTCGACACTTCTCTCGCGGATTAAACGCCCCGCGAACGTCCGCAATTGTATCGGTAGAGTATTAGTACAGATTAAAAAGAAAAGAAAAAAAAGAAAAGAGAAAAAAGAAACGTGTGTTCCCTTCCTCTCCTCTCCTTTTTCCTCCCCCTTCCCCCTCGCACCAAGTGACCATCAAGTACACGCGATTCACGTTCGCGATTCACCGCCCTCTCTTTAACGCTATTCAACAATCCTTTTAACTTTCGATAGATAGATAACGCGATATGATTTGGGATTGTGACGAAAGCGACGTGTCTCGTCGACGAAATAACAGTTTATATTCACCGTCGTCGAAAATTATGTCTCCGTTATGTTATTATACGCTAATTTTATTATTACTATCATTATTATCGTTATTATTATACACGCGACACTTATAGATATACATAATGTGAAGTAGCTTCATGCAAGAGGCAAGGCTGCAACGCAATCTCGGCCTCTTCCGAGGCAAGGATGACGGTTATGCTTGTTTCTTCTGGGAGAGCGATTCAAAGTGATGTTGCCATCGTCGATATTATCATATATTGACGACATTATAATTTATTCTTGTAACGTCATTATATATCGTTATCGCTAACGGTTGCCGCGATTGTCGTCGGCATTTTTCGCGGCGAAGAAACACAACCACCTGTTACATATTACATATTACATATGAGCGTTAAATCTCACGTTCAAACAGTTTTGACGAATAGATTCAATGCCTCGTAATTGACACATACATACACATATACGCCCGTACACACGCGCGTTGCGTATCGCGGCCGATGATGATCGTGGTGTAATCGAACCAGAAAAAAAAGAAGCGGGACACAAAAAGCGAATTAAATATAAATATATATCTATCACACTATATCGAGAGTTGTGCGCTGCGTTTACGCGATTTAAGCTAGTTCATTTGTAAATAAAAACTATTTGACTCTTTGATCTATCGTGTTGTATTAATTGACCCTATATACACAATTACCTCTCGGTCTCTCTCCTACGTCCATCGAGACTTATATAAACCAAACGGATGAAAAGATGAAATCTGCTTTATTACGATCCAAGATTTCTTTCCGATATTTACGTCGTGGAAGCGATATTGCGCGCAAAACGATGCTGTGGAAATAATTTATGAGCAGTACAGAGTCTAATAATATTGTCTCTCCCTCTCTCTCTCTCGTTCGAGAGTGATATTGCCTCCGCACACATACACACACACACACACACACACACACACTTGTATAGATTGTGTGTGAGAGAATGGAAATTAATTATAAAGCGATCTCTCAAGCTACGCAAGCTAACTGCTGATAGGTAAGACACATGCCGGCATTGTCCGCCAACGTACCGTCCGCGTTGCTACCGGGATCGAAAGCCACCCTTATCCGGAAGGGCGTAGTCCAGGTCTCCACCCGACAATTACCCTTCGCGTCGAGTTCGTCTCGTCTGCACAGCGAGTTGCCGCAATGCTCCAGATTGCAGACACCCGCCACGTTGTTTCCCGGCTGGAACAGACACACGTGTTTTCCGCTGAGGTCTAATAAACGAGTCTTTCGGAAAGTAGTTAGTTCCTAACTACTAAAAGACTTCAATATTATATTAATTTCATTTTTTTATAAACTATAATGATTGGTATGATTTATTAATTAAAGCAAAAAAATTTTTTTGCATAAAGTTATATAAATATATTT